CTACATTAAAATCCCACTTTCCTAAGTCAAGAAACCTAATCCAGTACAGTGCTTTGTATACTTTTGGGGCAAATATTATTGTCTACAACAGAGGTAAATATGTTAATAGATTTAAATATTTTTTTAAGTAAGAGGAAACAGGGCCAGGATGAGTGAGGCTCAGTTGGTTGGGCATCGCCCTGCCAAGTGCAAAGTCACCGGATCAATCCCTGGTCAGGCCACATGCCTGGGTTGTGGTTTCGGTCCCTGGTCAGGGCATGTATCGAGAAGCAACCGATCGATGTTTCTCTCCCTCTCTTTCTCCCTGCCTCTAAAAATAAATAAATATTTTTTTTAAAAGAGAAAAATTTTCAACTTTTTTTCCCCTTATAATGACTGTTCACATTGTTTCATGAGCAGGGAAAGAAAATACAATGACCACTTAGATATAAAATGCATCATCCAAGAACACCTTTCTTTGAACCAGGGGGACACCACCACTGGTGAGGAGAAGGTCGTTGCATGAACTATTCTATAACTTAATATGCAACTGAGATATCATGCTAAACCTATCAAGGAAGAAGCTTATCAGATGTTGGGATTATAGAAATACTGATGGAATAGAATAGATATATTCAGAGATGTGTAACCTAAGAGATGAAGGTTCATACCAAGGTCGGCAGCCCAATACGAAGGCTCTGCCCTTCCTGGCTCTGGGATACCTGACAAGCGATTTCAAATCCCTCTATTTCTCTGGCACGAGCATAGCCTGTGTGGCAAGCCAGAGCTCCTACTTGCTTCTTAGCAATGCTCCAGGGCTAAATAAGAGAAAATTTATGTGCTGTGCTTTAAGCTCCATTGAGGAAAGGAACTGAATAAACCTCAGGATAATTTATGAATCTTGAGCTTGCAGTAATCCTGTCCAAGTCCATTTCATAAAAGGAAAAAAATGGAAGTTGGAGGCCAATGCTGTGTGGTTGGCGAAAACCTCAACTAACTTTGGGCAATGGTGATAAGTCCCAACAATAGCACTTTATATACATGAAATCCTTGACTAATCCAGGAGAATTTCACAAAAAGCTAATTCCTTCCAATGCCCAGATAAGAGTTCACTGGCAGAACATCTGGTATATGAATCAGAGAAGTGTGGTATGGCAGTCCTAGTCTGAGATCCAATGTCTAATTTCCTTTTAATTTACCATAATTATTTTTGTAAAACTCTATGGCTCTCCTCCAGTGGATGTGCCTAGCGAGGACTGCCAAAATCCTGTCTTCTCTTCAGAATCACATTCTTAGGCCAGCTTCTCCCTGCTTCTTTCCTTCCCTCCCAATTGCATTTTACCTTCTTCCCTCTATCACTTAATCAGTACTTGCATCTTTTAGCTATCTGTACTGAAGAAAAGGGTCAAGTGTATAATCTGAAAACTTCAACATGAGCATGTATTTGGAAATACAATTTTACTAGTATATTGTTCTAGCTAGTAGTGATTTTTTATTAATGCTTTGGTTTCATTTGGTTTTAATAATGGCCACCCTTCCTATAACTTGCAGCATAACTGAGTTATATCAGGCAAAGTTAGTCAGAACAAGGTAGCCTCATCATTTAGAAACTTCGAGGGCCCCAAGTGATCACCAACCAGTTTTCCTAAACCAACAAGTGACTAAGCGATTCCATTTTGAAAGCTATAATTCTATGCTTTTATCAAACACTTTATCTGATTTGCAGGAATGGGTTTATTTGAAGTTTAAAAAAAAATCTAGGAGACAGCTCCTGTAAGCCAGCCATGAGGTTATCACGAGACTGCCTCAATACCAAGCGCCAGTGTCTGGCAGAGCCGGTGTGAGACGAAGAGACAATCCATCCCTGCCGCAGGGATAATCAAGAGTTTTGGCCGGACCTCTGAGCACAGACCGGGATAGTGAGGAGCCAGATGCAAAGCAGAGACTATGGTGCTGAAACGGATTAATAAGGAACTTAATGATTTGGCCCGTGACCCTCCAGCACAATGTCCTGCAGGTCCGGTTGGGAAGGATGTTTCACTGGCAAGCCACAATTACGGGACCTAACGACAACCCATATAAAGGCGGTGTATTCTCTTTGACAATTCATTTTCCTACAGACTACCCCTTCAAACCACCTAAGGTTCCATTTACAAGAATTTATCAGTCCAAATATTAACAGTATGGGAAACATTTGTCTTGATATTCTAAGATCACAGTGGTCTCCTGCTTTAACTATTTCTAAAGTTCTTTTATCCATTTGTTCACTGCAATGTGATCCAAACCCAGATGACCTCCTAGTACCAGAGACTGCATGGATCTATGGAACAGAGATGAGTACAACAGAATATCTCAGGAATGGACTCAGATGTATGCCATGTGATGCTACCTTAAAGTCAGAATAACCTGCACTATAGCTGGAATAAACTTTAAATTACTGTTCCTTTTTTGATTTTCTTATCCGGCTGCTCCCCTATCTTTTTTAATTTTACTTTTTGTTTTATCTCCCTCCATTTATTCACATGCTCAACTGAGAAGACCTAAGATCTTCTACCTTTGGACAATAACTGATTTTACAAACTGTAAAGTACTTACAAGAGAACAGTTGCCCAAGATTCAGAATTTAAAAAAAAAAACAAACAAAATGGAACACGTGTATTATGTGGCCAATGTCTTCACTGTAAGTTGGTTATGACACTAAAACCATTCCTCGCTGCTCTAACATGCTGAAGAAATCACCAAGGGGGAGAAAATGGATGCTCAGTTGTCACATCAAAGGGAACAGCATTGTTCTAGCAGCATCCATTCTTGTGTAAGCCTTCCACTGCTAGAGATCTGAGGTTACAGGATATACTTTATGCTCATTACTGATGTGGCTTGAGAACTGGTATTGAATTTGTAGCATCAGCAGAACAGAAAATGTGATGTATTTTATGCGTGTCAATAAAGGAATGACCTGTTCTTGTTCTACAGACAATGGAAATTGGACATCAAACACCCTTTGTATTCTAAAATAGAGTCTCAAACATTTTGTAATTTTCATTTAAATTGTTGGGAGGCTTGGAGCTATTAGTTAATCTATCTTCCAATTTAACTGTTTAAAATAGCACTGAATTAAAAAAAAAAAAGAAGGAAAATGCTTTGCATGTAAGCATAACAAACCTCAGCTGATTTCAATGGCTAAATACAGGAATAAAACAAGGAATATCTTGTGTTACAAACACATCAGGGTGATTCTTTCAGAGAAAAGGCACCTACATTTCCAGTACCCCTAATTGTGCTTGTTTTGATAAATTACAAACAAAGGTCATTGTTAAGCCCTGGTTAAGGGGAGGAAAAGGTAGCTGCCTTTCAGAAGTTCATCCATTTGGAGAGGAAGAAGTCAAGGGAAAATCACTCTCCTCTGACTAAGGCAGTCTAATCATTGTCCTCATGATGGTTCCCTGCATTTTTCTCCCTTCAAAAGTTCCCATGGTTACAAAAGGACATGTCACACATGTGTGTGTGTGTGTGTGTATTTTTTTAAAAAGGATGACAAATCACAGGGATGCAAAATGGCCTCCCTATAGTCAGAATTTGTCATTTTGCTTTTGACACTTTCCTACTGGTCCACTTAATCCAGAACCACATAGACAACAAATACTGTAAAGGGGGGCTGGCTATTTTAAGAAACCAGAAATGCCAGGTAACCAGAGTAAGGCCATTATGATTCTATCCTGCTCGCACATGTGCACGCGCACACACATACACACACTAGTAAGAGTGGAGTAGTTCACTTGAAAGGATAAATCTCTAAAGATTAAAAACATGGTGCTGCTCTTTCTTACAAACTCTTTAGAAGTAAGACTTGAAGAGTAAAAATTATGTTTCTTTGAATTATGCAGAGAATTTTACATTTAATCAATAGATTCTAAAATGTCTTCAATCAAAAAAAAATTTCAAAAAGTTCCTTTAAAAGAAAAGTAACATGAACTGAGCCCAAACAGAAGGGCACTTCGTATCCCCCTCAGGGTAGTGTCTGGCCCTTTGCACTAAAATGGGAAGAAAGTTGTATGTTCCTAATGGGAAATTAGAAACGCACTTACTCAATGCCTACTCGTTGTAGAAACACGAGAATGCACACATAGGAGGGTAACATGACAAATGGAAATTGGGCTAAAGAAACATGTCTGGCAGACACACATAATCACTGGGGTTTGGGCAGGCTACACCAAATTTTGGACATTTCATCTCCTAGTGTCCCTGCTGTTACTGACCAATAGTTTTGATACTTCTGGGACTCGTAGATGTATCCCCCTCCTTTTTTTTTCCTATTTGATAAACTCAAGACCTTTACCAAGTACTCTAAATCCCAACTTTGTTCAAGCTGACTTGAACAAGGCAATCAGCTACGTTAGATACAAGCTGTGAGGCCATTTTCATCCCAATACATTCCAAAGCTAAAGGAAAGAACTTCATCAAAAAATTGTTAAAATGAAGATACAACGTATTTCTAATTTAACTGCCATAGACTTAATAAATGCTGTGTAATGACAACACATAAAATCTAGTACCGCATTTCACAGAGCAGGAAGACCTCACAGTATCCACACACACATCCATCATTGAGGGTTAAAAGTTTAATAGACTGAATTTTTTTCTGGGTACATTCTACTTAGGCCCCTGCAAAGCTATACATTAAAATGCTGTGTACCATTTAGCTTTGGCTTACACACTAAAATGGACAACTGCAGCAATTTAGCAAATAGCGTTTTAACAAAGTAAGTATCCTAGGGATTTCTTTTTGTCAGTCTGGTTTTCTAAAGAAATATACTTCGTTCACTTCTTGTATTCCATTTTTTTAAGCCTTACAACTTTGAAAACATACTGTTTAAATCCAAGCAGTACCCAAATAATGAAGATGCATTAAAAAGAAAAGTCCTCAGGGGAAGATAGGTCTAAAGCAGCAGGTGACGCGTGCTCAGCGCAGCCTCTACTGGCACTGTACAGCTCTCTCAGGACGCCACAAACCGGCAGTCCAGCTACCAGAGTCGGCAGGAGTCCGCGCCTCTGTTCATCGTGGAATTGGAGGGGCAGTTAAAAGCTTTCCGGAATTCTTCAAAGTTGCTAATTGCACCATTGACCCTGAAAAAGATGTGTCAAAGCCCATGTCATTTAATTCTTACATATCAACGGGTTTTGGACAAACTGTAGCAGCATATTGCTTGAAGGGATGTTGCGTTCATTTAATCTCTTTTCAGGGGAGACAACTGAAGCCCAAAATGGCTATGTAGACTTCCAAAAAAAAATTGACAGACCTGAGACTAGAACCAGCACCTCCTGAATGCTAGGCAACCACTCCTATTAATCTTCCAAATATCTTCAACTTCCTATAAACTGTAAAATTTACAATTCCTATATATTGAGTATAGGACTGTATATTCCTATAACTTTACAAATTCATATAAACTGTAGGATTTACCAACACTTAGCTATTGTATTTTTAAATTTATCTTTCTATGGAAGGTATGACTGATACAAAGTGCACATCTTAAATGTAAAGCTCATAGATTTTTTTCATGTGTATAATATACCCATGTTGCTACCACCCAGATCAAAACATGATATTCCCAGCACCTAGAAGGCTTTCTGGTGAGTAGTACATCGAAGTAGTACATCGAAGAATAACTACTAGTCTGATCTCTATTGCCATAGATTAGTTTTGCCTGTTTTTGAACTTTGTATGATAAGTACAGAGTAGGCACTCTTTTGTTTGTGACTTCTTCTACTCAATATTGTATTTGTAAGATTCATCCACGTGACTGCTATCACTATCTTTAAAGAACTCCTTCACTCTCCACAAATACTTCCCCTAAATTTGCATTATGTCTGAAGGCACCTATTTATCTAGAATTTGGTTTGTGCAACAATAAGCCAATGAATGGTGTTTAGTTGTTATTGATGAGTTAACTGGAGTTCACTTCAAAATCTGGGGTTCTTTCAAGTTCCCCCAACTGCAGTAAGAGTGCAGATTCCTACTCAGCACTCCTATTGTACCCGTCTTTTGGAAGTGGTATTTCCATTGTGTGATTTCCGCTGCACTCAAAATCTAGTTACTGCGGACACCACTGACAAGCCAGCACAAAACTCCCCCTTCATCCACTTCTTACTCAACTGCACGTTCTAAGGGCTGACTGGAGTCAGCATTCTGAGTCACTATTTCTTCCCTACTGATTCTTTACCTATGAGCATTTGAGTGAATATAATGGCCAATATCCCCCCTTCCCCCAAAAAAGACAAAAACAAAAACCCATAATCGCTTGTGTGTTAGCTAGAATGTCTAAGTAGGGTTGCATATTTCATGGTGTGATTCACCCTGGGTAAGTGTTACATAGAGTTTAGCTGATAATTAGTAAGTATGCTCTGCAAATTATCAGCTAAAATCCAACATTACAGGCAACTAGTTAGTAAAAGGAAATAGTTTCTAACAACTTGTCAGTTGAGTAATTAATCCACTGTGGGGTTTCATCTGCACCATTTGTCAGTGGGAGTACATTTTAGTCCATTAAAGACAGACAGCATTCTTGACAGTTTGACCCAGTAGGGGAGAATTTCTAACACAATGATTAGGTTTTATGCAATTGGGTAATTTATAGTCCACTTCAGAAGCATTTCTAAAGCAAGGTTTTAGGAATAAGACTTTTAAATGTAGGAGAAATTTTAGATGACTTCCCTGCAATATGCTAATGGATTCATTTAAACATTAAACATAAAATAGCCAGGTATAATATGTTCTAAGCAAAGAATGAATAAATATAAATTATTATGGTTTCATGAATTTCCCATTACAATTTTCTGTCCCCTACTATAGAAAATTTCCCTCAAACTATGCTAGAAATCCAGCAGAGGGTAAGTAATATTAACCTTAATTTTATTTTTACGTAATATTTTATACATTCTGACAATTATATAAGATTGTTATTCATAATCCTTTTCCCTTCATATTAGCACCTATTTCAAAATAAGATACCAAGTAAAAGCCAAATGTACAGCTTTTGACTCTAGATGTGTATTATAATAGCTACACATGACCATACATCCTCCTTTGTGTTCAGGGCTATGCAGAAAGTGGGAGCTCATTTATGTTTGTTGGCTGGCTGCATACAAGAACAAGATGCATTAAACAGAATATTCCATAACACAAAATAAAGCAGAGTTGGACGTGTTTTAAGACGCAGTACATAGGATCACATCCTTGTCTAAGAAAAGAGGCTTTTTGGGTACAAAAAAGGTAGGTGGTTGGATAAACTGAATATTCCAGTTTACGAAGCACCCATGGTGCTCATGGAGCCCACAGATTGCTTCCTTTCAAAAAATGAAAGATAATAAACAGGAATATTAAAACTATGATTTGGATTCTAAACTACCTTTGGAGTCTTGTACAATCTCATGGATCTCTTGATACGTCACTAGACTAGGCGTGTACAAATTCTCACTACAGGGATTCAGTTGAGAGAATGCTGCCTAAAGTAGCTTCCCACGGAAAGAAAAGATGCTTCGTTTCTGTTTGGCCAGTGTTTTTGGTCTGCAAAATGGAGATCTCACTATTCACAATACAGGCTTTTGTTCAGATTACCTATTTGGTCCAGCACTGGAATGGCTGCATAGGTGGAAAAAAGGGAAGATGCACAGTTAAAAACTAGTGTCACCCATTTGCCCTTTTACCTAAACTCAGGGGGACTGTGAGCACCAATTTGAACTTGTTCTCGGGCAGCTTCTGGTCTGTAGGAATTGCACCTTACCTAGAAGAGAAAAGCATCCTGATAATTACATTTCCACTCCAATTACACATTTTCTACTGCTTTAACTGCTCCAAATTATACTGAAGAGTAATTTTAGACCTGATGGATGACAGTTTTGGGAGATCAGACAAAACCTTCATCTGTAGTAGCATCTATTATTCTAATCCCCAGAGTAGAAGATTTTATCATTGTAAATAATTCCACAATTTGCGTAAATTAGGAAGGTTTACCAGACAAATGCAATAAATCAAGAGAACAGTATATGTGCCCAGTAATCAACCAATGTATTCATTCAATTAATATAATGCTTGGAATAGCCCTTATCAAATGTAATTACATTCATTTGAACAAATAAAATGAATCAAGCACCCATTACTGCGTATTGTAATGAGAAGTTAGTATTTTAGCAAGGCACTGTGGGTGCCTTGCTTGCCTCACCCTAGAGCAGCCCTTGGACAGGAGAACCTTCCTCCATCTCCTTTGCAGCTATGCATGGGTATATGACCTGTGCTGACCAATGACACGTGAGGAGAAGTGATGTATGTCACTTCCTGGAGAAGCTTTAAACAACTGGCGGGAGTTTTAAGAGCCTTCAAAGCAACTTAAAATGCTACATTAAGGGCCACTGCACATTTCCTCATACTTCTTTCGTACTCCCGTCATGACCTTGGAAGTATATGTCAAGATGAAGACCCTAAAACCCAGGTCCCTGAGTAATAATTACGAGCAGGGACCCACTACTGGCCCATGCTGAACAAAGAGCATGAACAAGAAATGAACTGCCCTTGTCTTGTTTGTCTCCACACCATAAGCTACTTGAGCCTGACTTGAAGGATGTCTTCAAACATGATATATATAGTCTGGAAGTATGAAAAGAACTAGGACGCATGAACATGATGGGGAGGCCATTCAAAGTGGAGAAGAAAATGGAAGCAAAGGCGCATCTAAGAGGGGGAAGAAAAGACAGACATTCAGTGTGGCTAAGCTGTGGCACACAATGGGCAGCAACAGGGGACCGGGGAGAAGGTGCCAGATTTCTGACATCCTGAGCAACAGCTCAAAGTGCTTAAACTATATTTAAACACTGTTATGAGCAGGAAAATGATAAAAATCCTATTTTAGAAAGATTTATCTGGCAGGAGTATAGAAAAGTAGAAGGAAATTAGAAACTAGTTAGATTATTTATGGTCCCCAGGAAGGTGCCCAATGACTGTCTACTAAATAAGTGGAAATGCAAATGGAGAGAAGCAGAAAGATAAGAATATCTGAGGGGGAAAACTGGCAGGTCACAGAAACTACAGGGATAGAGAAAGCAGGAAAGGCGATATGATGCTATTGCTTTTCATCGAGATAAACCATCAGTCACTGTGGTTCTGAATTTAACTTTGAAGTTGTTATTGTAAGATGATTCTTTAATTTCCTCAGAAACTAGCTACTGTGAAGTTGTTTCTGGCACTCAATTTTACCTCATTTTTTTCTTATGTTATTTCTTCTTATATTCTCACATTATTGTATAATATTAGTATTGTCTTTGCTTCCTATTATCATTTAAGAGATTGCTGTAAACACATTATGGTCGTTACTGTTTTCCTAGTACCTTTTTAGGAGGGGAGAAAACTTTCTTACAAGAAGACTTATTCAATGCACAAGAAACTGAAAATCCCCTCATTCTGTCAGTGGGAAAAGCTCTAAGACAAATTCCTCATTAGTGATATAAAATGGCTCTCCATTTATCCTAAATCTCTTTAGTTTATAATAAATCAGATATGGTTTGCAATTTTATTTGGAAACATTTCAAAAGTATGACTGCAATGTTGCTATCAGTTAGTTTTCTTCATCTACAAAGACATGTTGTGAACTAGGATGTAATGAAGATGAACCTTGAGTAAGTAAGAACCTAAGTAAGAATTGATGGACCTTGTACTTTGTCCTCTAGAGTAGAGGTCAGCAAACTTTTTCTATAAATCAAGAAACAGTAAATATTTTAGGCTTGGCAGACCATAAGATCTCTGTTTCAACTACTCAACTCTGTGGCTGTAGCAAAAAACCAGCCAGAGGCAGTAAATAAAAGAAAGTGTGTAGTTATTTTCAAATAAAATGGTATCTACAGAAATAGACAGCAGGTCTTATATGGCCATGGGCCCTGGTTGGCCAAGCCTTGCTATCGGAAGTTCTAACTATGCCTGTTGCGTGCTTATTTCAGCTTTACGAGGTCTGTCCAGAAGGGATCCAGCCATGTAATATGAAAAACAGACATTTACTGAAGAAGACACAAGATACCAGAAACATTATACATAGGACAATGACACCTCTGTCCCCTTCGAAGTAGACACCTTGGGACCTCACACAGTTCTCCCAGTCACCATCAGCTGCCTCATCGTATTTTGCTGAATCTCATCAACAGTCTGAGATCTCTTCCCTTTCAAAGGTGATTTCAGTTTTGGGAAAAGCCAGAATTCACAGGACACCAAGTCTGGGCTGTTGCGGGGTTGAGTCACCTGGGTGATTTGATGTTTTGCAAAAATACTCTGCACAAGACGTGATGGTATTTCAGTGGCATGTAAGATAGAAAACTATGAAAAGATACTAAAGCCAGGAAATCGTGCCATGAGGCTGGTGGAATAATCCAGAATAGAAAAGTTCAAGGCCTAGCCTATAGATGACAAATTAGGATAATGAAGAGAAAGGGAGGCTGAATCTGAAGAGCAGTTAAAAGAATAAAACATCTAGCTTTGGGGACCACATATCATAAAATCAAGGACAGATAAATCAAATAAGACCTAAAAATCCACGTTTTCTAACCAGGAAGACCCAAAGACTGGGGGTGTTTTAAAAGAAATGGGAAAACTAAAAAGAACTCATTTTGTTAATGACTCCAGTTTTGTTAATGTTAGATTGATAAATAATATTTTATTTAGGGTTGTCATGTCAGCTTTAAGAAATAAAACACCCCAGAGAGGTAAGAATCATTTAAGCAGAGTTAAGTGAAGAGGACATGTGAATGTACAAACTTACTGAGGACAGAATAGGAGGAATAAAAAAGGTTGCACTGATGAAAACTTCTGTGTAGCTTTGACCATACACATACACATTTGCCCACTTGAAGCCATGTGTCAAAACCTTCCACAACCCACCCCTGACTTCTTTGAAAATGAGGCCTACAAACTGGTGATGTAAGCCAGTGTGGTAGTTAGTAACTATGCAGTTCTTCTTTGAATTGGCACTTGCTTCATTAGCCAAACTCTCAAACTCAGAATTGTGCCTTATTTTGTGCACATCTTCTATTTCTGCTCGGAGAGCCCATTAAACTCGCAAGAGAGTCACATGACTCTCCTTGCCTTTGTTTTTCTCTTTTTTCTTCCAGCTCTAGTAGTCATCACGTATTCACTTGACAGTTGGGCACACGGCATGAGGGTCCCCCACAGGTTGAGCGTGGCGGGATAAAGTCAGCAAATCAGGCGAAGGAGGAGAAATGCAGGCAAGGGCGAGGTCATGACAGGCAATGAATGAGTCACCAGAAGTGGTTATTACAAATAGTTTCAAAGAGTAACATTAGAAGTCAGGCTGTATTTACACAAATATAAAGTGAGTTCCCATAGGGCTGGTAACCCACTTTATAAAAAATGCCAATAAACCTTGATTCAATTAGTTAATTATGTCTCATAGTCAGGAGAATGGGTGAGAAAGGCGAAGGGATTGAGAAGTACAAATTGGTAGTTATGGAATAGTCATGGTATATAAAGTACAGCACAGGAAAGGCAGTCAATGATATTGTAATAACTATGTATGGGCCAGGTGGGTACAGGAACTATTAATGGGAACACTCTGTAAAGCATATGACTGTCTAACCACTATGCTGTACATCTGAAACTGATACAAAGTAATACTGAATGTAAAAAAAGTGCTTCCAATTAAAGCACAATAGACTAAAGACTGATGTCTCATCAAACAGTAAGAAAATGAATCCTGAAAATAAACAGCAAGATAAAATTTCAGCTGAGATCAAAGTTATGCCATGAAATTTTTGTTCCAAACCTTTGATCAAGGAAGCAAGCCAAAGTCCCGCATTTCATCTTTGATGCCCCTTCCTTGGTCTACTCACGTGAGCGTAGCTCAGGAAGAAGAGCTGGTTGTTGGTGAACGTGATACCTGGCAGAAGAGGCTCCTCAACTCCCTGCCTTTTGTCATCTACCCATTTCCGGTAAGCCTGCCGAGAGAAGCAGAACAGATGATCCTCTGCAGCAAAGGTTTTTCCCTTTTCCCATCCAGTGCAGAGGTATTAAATATATCCTGTACTATGTGCAAAATGCACCTTGTCAGGGTTTCCATTAAGAAAACAAGCCTAGAAATGCAAGTCAACGTTGTACTGCTTAACAGGCAGGCAGGTTCCACCTGCAAAAAGACCTTACATTCCATAAATACCAAAGCAGTGGGGCCAAAGTGGTCACTTGTTAAATAGCATTTCCCCACAGAAAGATCTTGCTCTTCCTACCAGGGAACAAACAAATGTAACACAATGACAAGGCCTGTGGAAACAGATTTTGGGGTCAACATACTGCCAATTTTTTTATTTTGCCAAGTAAGAGGGAACACTATCATCAATCATCAACAGCTTGTAAAATACATATATTTTAACTAGAATAGAGGAAAGATATAATCTCGGAGTAACAGCCTTGGTCTTCATATTGAATGCATTTAGCTTTATGAGAATCTTTCCCTATCATCCTTATGTTTCTTGTTTGACCACGGACCAGTGATGATGAAAACATTATTATGGACTCCTACCTGGCCAGCTATATAAGAACCACTAGCCTCTGGTCATAATATAGAAGTTTGGTATTTTAAGAGAAAATTATAAGGAAGGAAACCTCCCATGAACCTAGCCCTGAGGAGATTCCTGTAGCATGCTTTCATATTATCATGAATGTTACTTTCTGAAAACTATCTTTTAAATACATGATTCTAAGTAACAAATATTATTCTTTGGAAGTGACTTTACAACCCAAAAAGATGAGAAAGAAAAGTAGCTTTATTCACATAACAGACTATAATAGAGTCAATGGCAAAATATAATACTAATTACAGAAATTCACAGAATTTACAGAAATCTTAATCCTCAAGAACATGTCTATGGTATAAATTGAGGTGCACCCATATGGTGTTTTAGAGCTTAATTTTTAAAATCACAGCAAATGTTGCAGTACATACCCTAAAAGCTTCCCGCAGGCCTCCATTGTCAGCAATATTTTCTCCCAGGGTCCTCTTCCCCTTCACCTAACAAAAAAGGAAAAGAAAAAATAGCGTTTCACAGTCAACTATCATTCAGTAAGAGACAGAAATATGATATCAAGAAAAAGTGCCATGTTTTAAAAAGGAAATTACATTCAATAAATAAGAGGTATTTATAATACAACATATTGTGAGATAGGAAACTAACCCCAGCAAGGTGCTCCTGAATAAAATCATTTCTATTTTATTATGCAACACATTTCTTCCTCACTCACCTCTTTATTCTCACCCATTTAGCCAGCTCCAATAAAATGTTAAAAATATTCTGAGTGGCTCTAGTTTAATGGGGAAAAATAGAAATGTCAATATACAGAATACATTATTTGATTAACTTGCATAATGTGAGTATTGTTTTCAGTGTGCTTGTGTTCCCAAAAACTTACCATCACATAGGAACAAGAATTCAAGACCAACCATCACCATTACACCTTCAGCAATTTCCAAGAAAAGTTAAAAGGAAGGTAGTTCTCATGGGGAACAAAAATCAAATAGAAGTAGCACAGACCACAAGATCAAGGTTTGCAATATGTATGATAACCAATAAAGCATCGTGGAGAACTTCTTCCCAACAGTTGTAGAGATTGTTCCTTAAACCCTTAAATAGGTCAAGACAAAAAATGTAAACCCATGCAGTCCAAAACCCAAAATCCAACCTACTGCTGTGTTTGTACAGGCTGCAAAGTGGGACTAGATTTTACATTTTTCAGTCATTGGGAAGGAAAGGAATCAAAGGAAACATAATATTGTGTGGCATGCAAAAATTACATGAAGTTCACATTTCAGTGTTCATAGTTCAAGTTTATTGTAATATAGCATTGCCTATTCATGCACATGTTGTCTGTGGTTGTTTTATCACTACCGTGGCAGGACAGAGTAGCTGCAATAGAGATCTTTCAGCCCCCGAAGCCCAAATTATTTACCATCTGGCCCTTTTCAAAGAAAGTTTGCCCGTCCCTGAATAGGAGGCTCCCTATTCATGCTCCCTATTCATGCTCCCTGCCAAAAGATTTCTAGGTCCTAATCCCTAGATTAGGAACCTGAGAAAATGTTACCTGATGTGGCAAAAGAAACTTTTCAAATGTGATTAAGGTGAGGATCTTGAGATGAAGACATCAGACTACATTGTCCAAGCGGGTCCAATGTAATTACAAGGGTCCTCTTCAACAGAGAAAGAGGAAGTCAGGAGAGTGTCTCAGAGTGATGCAATGTGAAAAGACTCAACCTGTCATTTCCAGCTTTGAAGACGGAATGGGCGATGAGCCAAGGAATGTGGGCCGTCTCTAAAAGTTGGAAAAGGCAAAGAAATAGATCCTTCCTGAGAGCAGTTAGAAAAGAAAGCAGTTTTGGTGACACCTTGATTTTGGCCTACTGAGACCTGAGTCAGACATACAGAACTACACTGGTATCTTTTCAGATCACTAAGTTCGGAGTGATTCGTTACAGCAGCAACAGGAAACAATACACCCTGTTCTAAACCTTCAAAGCCAAGGATCCTATCAACCCTTTAGTTTCAAGCTAGTCCAATCACCCAGGTATCAGGAAATAATAATGAATGAAAACAAACCTTCAGATAACACTGATCTCTCTAATCACCCAGGACCTTCCTAGCTTGAGTCTGCAAAGGTTTACTTACATTCCTGATTTACTTGCATTCTTTCACTACAATCCTAAAGGTAGGTGCTATTATCACCATCCTGGCTTAACAAATGAGGAATCTAAGTTTCACAGTGTGTCACTGATGTCATTGGGGGTGACACACCTGGTCTCCTTTCCTACCAGGAATGGACGTCTATTCCTGCAACTGCTATCAGCCCAGGAAGACCAAGCTTGGCTTAGGGGAGTTGTCTCACGTGGAGATTCTTGGGAGATGATACCCCACCTCTCAGTAGCTGACTGATATGCAGTTAGAACAATCCCTTACCCTAGGCTGAACGATTTCTATGCTACAATTCATGTTCCAGGACCCTCTCTGGGATAAGGCTGAGGCCAAACTTCTAAAACCAACATGTTTTCCTCACCCTCTTATAGGTTTCCCCTGAAACAACTTCCACAATAAATCACTTACCCGAGAAGCCCCTTCTTGGGCTCTACTTCTAGTGAATCCTGCTAAGACATAATTAACTGAACTGCCCACATATCACAGGGACTCAAACCCAAGCAGTCTGTCACCAGAGCCTTTGCTCCATAACATGCTACTTCTCAAGTCTCAACTAGTACAGACTCTGGTGCTTCTCTTTAAATCCACTCGTGCTGAAATTTAATCCTTCTTGTTCCCTAAACTTTACCTAAGTTAGAGGTTTGGGGAGTGGCTCATCCCTCTGGTTCCCCCTGCTCTGGCCCACTTCAGTAAGCCGTATGGCCCTAGGTTTACCTCCAGATTCGACAGCTGCTAAGAGTCTGCTTCTGTGGTGCTCCACTGAGCTCTCCCCAATTCGCTGCAAAGAAGGATTCAGGCACAGAGGTCTGGCCTCCACAAATGGTTTAAAAATCAGGAGAACCACGCCAGTGTTTATAAACAACACTCCTTTTCAAAGTGCACTGATTTTTTTTTTTTTACCTAAAGTCTTCTACAATGGTGAAAAAAAACTGAAAGTATAGTAACTTTAAGGCACAGCAAAGATTTGGGTGCTTTCCCAGCCCTAGTAAGATATCAGAATGGCATACATGCTTAGTTAAGGAACCAAGAGGCCCTGGGGAAGCCATGTGACAATATACTACTGATATACTCCAATTTCCAATGTGTGTGGTCCTCTGCTTCTCTTAGGTGCCGTGCCCTTGAAGAGATGAACGAGGAGCATACAGTGTGTACATGTGTGGCTTAAAGGAAGGTCTTCTTACACATCCATAAACTACCAACAAGTCTTCCTCCTTGGTCTCTTATCGCCAAACACAACAAGACAAATTTGTCTTATAATTAGGAAAGCAGAAACAGGATATGAAATGAAAAACTACAAGAAAAAATTAATAGTAGGGGAACGGGCATGAAAACTAACTTGATCAAACCAACAAAATGAAGAAAAGGCAATTGAAATAAAAACAATGTATAAGAGATAAACTATATAGAGAAACTTATAAAGCTGTATTTGAAAACCTAAAACAAGAACCAAACAGGTGGGAAAGCACACCATGTTCTTGAACAAAATTATATCATAAAATGTTAATTCCAAATGTTTAATGTTATTTAAGTTGGAATCCAATGGAATTTTCCTTGGGCGGAAGGAAGCACAGGTAAAATGATTTTGGAGTACATAAAGAGGTATATTTGCCTGAAAATGGCCCAGAATATAAAAGAACGGTGAGGGAGAGCTTGTATTGACAGATACCAGAACAATGCATACACCCACAGTAATGAGGCTTTGGTACAGTCCAACAGATAGATCAGGGAAATAGAATATATAATCCATAAAGTTATCTTAGCATATATGAGATTCTCATACTTGACTGAGATTCTAATAACTGACCAATGTTCAGCTCAGCGAGGAAAAAAAAAGGCTTAATCAATGATGTTAAATCAATCGGCTATTCTTTTAGAAGAAAACAAAAATGAACGCTCGTATCAAACTCCATAGAAAACTAAGTTTCGTATGCATGAAGATTTAAATGTATAATAACAAAACAGCAAAAACCTTCTCAGAAAAGCTAGGAGACTACATAAATGATTGGAATGGAAATGCAGAAACCATTTCTTAATGTAGAAATGTTTAATTTTTATGTCAAAAGATATTGTATACAAAGTCCAATGAATGAGTAATATTATTTGCAGGGAAATACTATAATGTAAATGACAGACAAAATTTTAACACCTGTAATAGTTAAAAAATTCTCATAAATTGACAAAATAATAAATGCTATTTCATCCACAACTGGTGGGAATATGAACTATTATAATGTGGTGGTAACAGTAGGAACTATCTATCCTATAGGGGAAAAAATATGTGCATAATAAAAGTATGTACTGCGGTGGCATTTGTTGTGGAAAAATAACTGGAGATAAATTATAACCCCTCAACAAGAGATTAGCTGAATATGCTATAGTACATTCATACTGCAGACTTTCAGGCAGCCATGGAAAACAGTGAACTAAAGCGGGGGGTGTTGTGTGTGTCTATATGAGCATGAGAAAAAGTGTACCAGGATTATTGCGATGGATTACATGTAGGTAAGGAAAGGGTGATGATAAGGAAAGGCTCTGTCACCAGAGCCTTTGCTCCGTAACATGCTACCTTCTCAAGTCTCAACTAGTACAGACTCTGGTGCTAGTGGAGGTGGCAGTGAAGACAAAAAAACAAGGAACAAAATTTCATACGCATAAACAGTGCACGTAAAATTTCATTCATGCCTTTATGGGAATTTATATATGTACATATAATAGTAAGTAAACAATTTAAAAGTACATTTATTTTGTTCAAAATTCTATAAGAACTCTTGACCAATTCTGAGTAATTAGTTCAAATTAATGAGGCTTTATTTCAGTGATTTAAACGAAGAGAGGATTGGCTGCGGGAGAAAGTTGTGAACTGGGTGGAGGCGGGCAAAGGGGGGAAAATGGGACAACTGTAATACAATAAATAATAAAAAAAAATTTAAAAACAAATCTATTCTCTAAGCTGGAGATAAACGAACAAACAAAACAAGCCTATGCAGTAGTTTGAAAGAAAATGTTTTTAAATGAAATGGAGTACAGATTTTTAAAAATTTTGTCTCTGATCTTTGCTGCAGGATTTTCTTCATTATTCTACATTAATCAGAATCTAGGAAAGCAAACTAATGGTTAGGCCTGTGATTCTCAAACTTTACCTTGTATCAGAAACACTGGAAAGCTTGTGGCAAGACAGATTACCGGACCCCACCTCCATGAGAGTCTGGGTCAGTTAGTCTGGAGTATGACTCAAGGACTTCCATTTCTAATAACCTAACTTTACACATAAAGGAACTAGATAAAGAAGAAAACAAGGCACAAAGTTAGTAGAAGGTAAGAAATAAAGATTAAATCAAAAATAAATGAAACAGAGACTAAAAAGACAATAGAAAAGACAAATGAAACTAAGAGCTGGTTCTTTGAAAAGATAAACAAAATTGACAAACCATTATTTATACTCAGCAAGAAAGAAGAGAGAGAACTCAAATAAATCAAACCAGGAATAAAAGAGATGCTACAATTGATACCACAGAGAGAAAAAGGATCATAAGAAATTATGAACAATTGTATGCCAACAAATTGGACGACCTAGAAGAAATAGGTAAATTCCTAGAAATATACAATCTGCAAAGATTGAATCATGATGAAATAGAAAATATGAAGAGAGTGATTACTAGTAAAGACACTGAATTAGTGATCAAAAATCTCCCAACGAAGTTCAGGCCTAGACAGCTTCACTGAATTCTATTTAAATAGTCGATAAGAATTATTACCAATTCTTCTCAAACTCTTCCAAAAATGGGGGGGAATTCTTCCAAACATATTTTACAAGCCCAGCATTACACTGATACCAAAACCAGACAAGGGTGGCACAAAAAAAGAAAATTACAGGCCAATATCCCTGATGAACTTAGATAAAAAATCCTCAACCAAGTATTAGCAAAACAAATTCAACAATACATTAAAAGGCTCATACACCATGAGCAATAGTATTTATTCCTGGAATGCAAGATGGTTCAACATCCACAAAATGTGATATACTAAATTAACAAAATGAAGAATAAAAGTAATATCATCATCTCAATAGGTGCAAAAAACATTTAATAAAATTCAAAATCAACTGATAATTTAAAAAAAACCTCTCAACAAAGTTGGTATAGTGGGAATGTACCTCAACATAATAATGGCCATATATAACAAATCCATAGCTAACAAAATACTCGGTGGCAAAAAGCCGAAAGCTTTTCCTCTAACATCGAGAACAAGACAAGGATGTCCACGCTCACCACTTATATTCAACATATTATTGGAAATCCTAGCCAGGGCAATTAGGCAAGAAAAAGAAAAGACATCCAAATTTCAAAGGAAGAAGTAAAACTGTCACTATTTGCAGATGACACGGTATTATATATTGAAAACCCTAAAAACACCATCAAAAAAAGAAAACAGAACTAGTAAACAAATTCAGTAAAGTTGCAGGATATGAAATACAAAAAAAAAAAATCTGTTGAATTTCTTTAAACCAAAAATGAAGGATCATAAAGAAATTAAGAAATTAATCAGATTTAAAATTTCATCAAAAAGAATAAAATACCTAGGAATAAATTTAAACAGGGAGGTGAAAGACTATATATTGAAAACTGCCAGACATTAATGAGAGAAATTGAAGACAGAAATTAACGGATATTACATGTTCATGGATTAATAGAATTAATAGTGCTAAAATGTCCATACTATCCAAAGCAAAAACACAGATTCAATGCAATCCCTATAAAAATTCCAATGGTATTTCTTACAGATATAGAACAATCATAAAATTTGTATGGAACAACAACGAACTCCAAACAGCCAAAGCAATCTTGAAAAAGAAGATCAAAGCTGGAGGCATTATGCTCCCTGATTTCAACTATATTACAAATCTATAGTAACTAAAGCAGTAGATCAATGGAACAGAATCGAGAGTCCGGAAATAATCCCAGGCCTATATGGTCAAATGATTTATGACAATGGAGCCATGAATATATAATGGAGAAAGTACAGTCTCTTCAAAAGGGTGGGAAAATTGGACAGCCACGTTCAAACGAATGAAACTGGACCACCATCTTACACTGAAAACAAAATTTAACTCAAAATGGATTAAAGATTTGAATATAAAACCTGAAACCATAAAACTCCGGGAATAAAAGAAGCAGTAAGTCCCTTGACACAGGTATTGGCAATGATTTTTTTTTAAATCTGACACCAAAAGCAAAAGCAACAAAAGCAAAATTGAACAAGTGGGACTACATTGAACTAAAAAGCTTCTGCACAGCAAAGGAAACCAGAAATAAAATGAAAAGGAAACCTCCTGAATGGGAGAAGATAATTGTAAATCATATGTCAGATAAGGGGCTAATATCCAAAATATGCAAAGAACTCATAAGACTGAATAGCAAAAAACAATTTGATTTGGAAAAATGGACAGAAGATCTGAGCAGTCATTTTTCCAAAGAAGACCTATAGATGGACAACAGGTACATGAAAAGATGCTGAACATCATTAATTACCAAGGAAATGCAAATCAAAAACACAGTAAGAGATCGCCTCATGCCTGTCAGAATAGCAATTATAAAAAAGACAAGAATTAACAAGTGTTGGCAAGGGTGTATGGAAGAGGGAACACTTATGTGCTTTTGGTGGGAATATAAATTGATGTAACTACCATGGAAAAATGATATGAAGGACCCTCCCCCCAAAATAAAAACAATTCCACTTCTAGGAATGTATCCGAAGAAAATGAAAACACTAATTCAAAAAGATATCTTTAACCCCACATTCACTGCAGCATTATTTACAATAGCCAAGATATAGAAACAACCTAAGTGTCCACTGATGATGTACGAATGGATAAATAAAATGAGATACACATGCACGCACACACAATGGAACACTACTCAGCCATTAAAAAGAATGAAGTCCTGACATTTACAACAACATGGATGGACCTAGAGGCTATTATGCTACATGAAATAAGTCAGACAGAGAAAGACAAATACCACAGAATCTCACTTACATGTGGAATCTGAAAAAAAACAAACTGAATTCATAAAGAGAACAGACTGGTGGTTGCCAGAGGCGGAGGGTGGGGGTAGGGGAACTAAATGAACTGGGTTTTGTTTGTTTTGTTTTCAGTTTAAATAAACTGAATTTAAAAGTATTAGGGGGAAAAATAAATGAAGCTACTGATTCTCTTCACAACAGCTCCCTTGACACCACTGCTATTCTGCCAGTTGAGAGAACAGTTCAGCTGCGTCCCTGATCGTTGTGAGTATCGGCTAGGGTGGAAGCACACCTTGACATTTTTCATGGAAATATTTGAGCAATATATGGTAAACCTGCATAAATTCATCTAGTCCTAAAAGGAAGTGGATAGACTTTTTATAAGGCCGCTGTTCTGTTTCAGTATTAAAAATAAAAATTGAAAAAAAAGAACAATGGGTGACTAGATGTGTTCTTCAGGACCAAAAGGTATTTGTCTCTTGCCCCCCTGTGGCTACCAGATGACTGTAACGGAAACCCATGCCTCTTTCGGTTAATACCTAATATCCCTTGGACAACTATAGACTTGGACTTCAACTTCTCCCAAAAACACAGCATGCCTTGACACAATCTTCCTATCCAAATGTGAGTTAATTGAGGGGGAAAAAAAGAATCTGCATTCCTAACAAGTTCCCAGGGGAGACTGAAGCTGTTGGCCTGGGAACCACACTTTGAGCGCCAATGGTGTAAAGCAAGCCAATGTCCGAAAGAGAAAAAATGACCCACGAGACGCCCTCTTCACCGCAGCTATACTCACATGTAAGCCAGCTTTCTTCCAGTAATAGTTGCTATACTGGTTTACCATGCACTTCGTTTTTTCCTTAAACTTTTCTTCTGAGTCAAGAGACCACCAAGGATCCAGGTTTCCATTTTTATCATATTTTCTACCTAGCAAGAAAAAAGTTAACAGATATTTGTGTTACTTATGGAAATTAATTTCTTCATCTTCCCTATGCTTCACCTAGACAAGCCTTGAAAAAGCAGTCTCAGCAACAGGGCAGCAACTCCGCCTTCTCCCCAGCGTCACGGGTTAATTGTGAAAAGAGGGAAAAGGAGAAAGCAACTTGAGAAACTTCTTTCCTTCTAAGCAACAAAGAGCATTTTAATAAGACTCATCAACTTATGGCACACACCATTCTTAACCAATCTTGGATTCTTTATTTTCACCTGATCTGACCCAAAATGTTCTCTGGATTATGCCGTGAAATGGCTTCATTCAGAAAGCCCGTGGAGGGGGCTGGAGCACCGCTTCCAGTGAAATTCCCAATGATCCACAGGAACAGCCCCCGTGAGTCATTCACACTCTGCAACCGCAGCCCTTGACTCAGCCCGACGGGAACGTGTTTCCCAAGTTGCCAGGAACTGAGAAACACATAAAACCTGTGTTATGAATCATTCCACAGCCATCAGTGTGGATGGAAGGGCCATCTGTCCTGCTTTGACAAGGAAGGTTGCTCTAAAAAGAGAACTTGAAACAAGAATGGAAATCTCCAAAACATAATGAGAAAAAAGATTACCGTATTTTGCCATGTACAATGTGCACCCACGTTTCTGTGCGCATAATACATGGGGCTGTTATACCCATGGTATGTAATCATTATACCCATGTATAATGCACACCCTTATCTTTCTCTCAAAAATCTGGGCAAAAAAGTGCACACTATACATGGCAAAATGCAGTAGTTATACATACACATATGGGGTTTGTTTTGGGGGGTTTTGTTTTTGTTTTTTTGCTACAGGCTCACTTTTCACTTACTCTACACCCTTCAAAAAAATGTTTGGGTGTATCTGAATTATCTTCTAAACTCACTCAAGGTTACTAATGGTTTAAATTTAATTATGCTGAGAACTCTTTGTTGGGCATATAAGAAAGTTCCCTAAGCAAAGCCGTTCAATAATGCTGGATGCCACTACCACCCTCCTGGGAGAGCACAGAGTCTCTGTCCTCCACCTACTAACCAACCAATTATTCAGTAGTTATTGGGCATGTCCTTATATGGGCAATATCCTGTTCTAAGTACTGATTACAGAGGGGAACTGCCATCACTAGGTTTTGTCCTTTGAGACACAATCCTGAAGGTCTCCAGGAGATTGAGGGAGAACTGTACTTAAATTCCCCAGGAAGAAAGGCCCAGAACCAAGAGACCACTACTAACTTTTATTTCTTAGCTAAAATTATCTGCTCAGATAAACCAAGCACACAATGATAGACGGTGCAGCTCTGCAGATTCAGATGACTACAAGGTAGCTGTATTGTAAGCGGGGGGAGCGGGGGAGCACAGAAGATACATGACTAAGGGCTGGCTGGGTAGTGGGAGCACAGAAGGAATTGTCCAGAAGGAGAAGAATCAAAAGGGTCTCTGACTCTGGGGAGGCACCCAGGAAAGAATGCTGGCGAGACCAGAGACACGGCAGAAAGAGGTCCCTCTACTATATATCAGCTTGGGCCAGCTGGGTTCTTGAGTCCTTGAGTAAATCTTTGTGTAGTTGTAGATGTGATCATAATTTGCTGCTAACTGACAGGTTTTAAAGATTTCACATGGCTTTCCAAGAATATTGCAAAGTTAAAGGAAAAAGGAGTGTTAATTTAAAATGATGAGAACTCTCAAAGAGTGATCGTTCCTTTTGTTTAGGCCATATTCTGCTCTTTCCTTTTGCTTAAATGTCACCAGGGTACACAGCATATTCTATATTATGCATTATTAGACAGGTGTAGCCTTTTAAAAAATCTGAATATATGCCGGCATAGAGGACAACAGAGATTAAGCATTGCATAATCCTTGGAACAGTATAAAGGAACCAGTCAGCCAAGCTCCAGACTCCTAACTCACCTTGTTCTAACTTGGCAGCACATATCACCATCCCCAGAGCAGAGCGCACACCTCCGGGGAAGGCGTCTCAAGACGGTGAATAAAGAAATGACAAAGGGAGGAAGCTATACAGTAATTCCTATAATTATTGTCGCAGCTACAGCAATTCTGATCTAAATGCAAAGCTAACTTCAATGAAATTACAAGGTCATTTTTTCGTCATTCTATCTTATCACCGATGGGAACAATGATTTATTTGTTGTACGCTAACACTGCAAGACATGGGGAAAAGTTTTCAGTCAGCAATCATACTGCACTGGATAATCTTCAATCTATGATGATGCCACTATGCGAGAATAGCAGCAGCAATGAACATCCATATAGTCAACATCATCCCAAAAGCAGCAGCTTATACAATGAACCAGTACTTACCATTATTATCAAATCCATGTGTAAATTCGTGTCCAACAATCACTCCTATAGCACCATAACTCAGAGATCTACAGCATAAATATATAATTTGGAGAAAATTATAAGCATGAATCTCAGAGCATAATCCTTTAATATTTTTTCAATGAAAAGCCAAGATAATCTGCTTTCTAGTAACCATGTGAATAATCTAATAAACACAAAGCTGTAAAAAAAAATTGAAACTTCTCGTCAAAATGGACATAGAAAATATAAATCCTAACATTGTCATTATGACCATGTATGGGCCTTATTTCTCCTACCCTGTGAAAGAGATGGTTTCTAAAGTCCCTGCCAGTCCTAAGGTCCCTATGATTCTATATCAGCTCTAGCTGTAGTTTATATTTATAAACACCCAAAGCAGTGGCAGAATTTAAAAAGATCCTGTCAGTAAACATACCATTTATTTTTTATCTGAGAACCTGCTGAAAAATCACTATAGACACAGAAGTTAAATTGTTTTCCAAATGTAGTCATAAAAAAGGAATAGAGCAGAGATTAAAAGGGATCACTCTGCTGTCACAAGGAGTCACATTCCTCCACTTCTGTGACAGACAAGCTCACAACTGAATGGCAAAGACTGTGAAGCCTTAACCACACTTGGAAAAGACAATTTTATCATTTCTCTTCACCTCCGAAGATGCACGTGGTAGATTACTGACAAGGGTCACCGCGGACACCTCCAAACGGCCTGCACGCATGAGCCCCCTCCTCCCATCAAGAGGCAACCTAAGGGTCCAGCGGAAGTAAGACTTGCTTGAGTGTGGTTGGGGGGTGTGTGTGAATGTCTCGCACAAGCTGGACAGCAATTTGAACATTTCACCTAAAATGTCACATGGTGTGCTTGAGTGTGATATTGTTATGTTGCAGAATGACACGCTTATGATTTTGTAATAAAAGAGTTTGTAATAAAAAAGGGGCTTTATTTGTGTTGGACCCTATATTTCCTTTCCCTTGAATCTGGATTTCCTTTTTCCTTTCAGGACGTGCTATGACCAACAGAATGCAACAGAAGGGGCTGAATGCAGCTTCTGGGCCCAGGCTGGGACAGACCTTGTAGCTTCAAATTTTCCCCCCTTGGAAGTCAACTGCAATATAAAGAAGTTGAACTAATCCTATGGAGATGGAGAGGCCTAGTGAAGCAAGCAAGTGACACCAAAAGTTGAGAGACTTCTTTTAAAGTAGGAGGGGCCCAGCCCTGACCAGTGTAGCGCAGTTTGTTAGGCATCATCCTGCAAAGAGAAAGGTTGCCAGTTGGATTCTGCACATGCCCGGGTTGTGGATTCGGTCCCAGGTCGGGGCCCGTACAAGAGGCAACTGATCCATGTTTCTCTCTCACATCCTGTTTCTCCCCCTTTCTCCCTCCCTTCCCCTCTCTCTAAAAATACAATCGGGGGGGGGGGAGAGAGAGAGACAGACAGACAGACAGACAAACAGACAGGCAGACAGGCCTAGCTAGGCCCCAGCCATTCAAGCCAGTCCAACTGGGACACCAGACACGTGAGCGAAGCCATCTTAGATCCTCTGGTCCCAGTTAAGCTGCCCTAGCCAACAAACACCATGTGGAGCAGAGACAAAGCTGTCTCAGCTGAGTCTTGCCCAAATTGCAGAGTCATGTGACAATAGAGGTTGCTCGGTGGTGCTTTGTTACGTAGTAATAGATAACTGAAACAGAAGCATATTAATGATAAATGAAGACATCAATAAATGTGTCTGGGATCTTCTGTCTCCGCTTTAAGTTCCATGAAGGTCAAACCCTTATCTACCTGAAGGCTGCTAAATTCTCTGTACCTAGTACATAGTAAGAAAGTAACAACAATTTAACTAATTGATTGACTTGATCATTTCATGCAAGTGAGAGACTGATATGTAACTTATTTTACTCAGTTAATGTGTAGATGAGGATTACAAACAACCTAAAATCCTTCTTAGGAGGATACTTCCTGAGATTTGCAATTATGCTAAAAATATTTCACAGTTGCTTCCTGACATGCAACATCAAAGTAACCCAGCAAATAGGTAGGACCCATAAGTGGAAGGAACAACAATTTTAGAAGCAACAGTTATTACAGGACATAATGATCCTTAACATGCTAATTGTTTGTCTCAACTATACCCAAGGAAGTGCTGTAAGATTTAATTTTTCCCCTTGGTGGAAATTCTTTCCTTTGTTATTTCTTTCCTGCAAGGTAATTTGCATTTGAAAAAAATGCTTCCTACTGTTTTTCCATCATTGCAAACCTTCATTAAAGAAGTAAGAGTAAAATTATGCATTTCAATCATAGAGCTATCATAGCAGTGTGGGACAAACTTGTAATTTTACATAGTGCTAATTTTTGCAGCAGTAGCTATCACTGTGCAGCCTGTAACACTTCGTTTTTCCAGACCTCTCAGCCCTGAGAATCATATTAGAAGCTCTACAAGCCTTGGTCAATGCTGTTGACAGGATGAATTTAAGAAATGAACAATGGAGGTTTACAGCAACTGTTCTGCAATAAATGTCCCTTAAGAGGGACTGCTCCAATGAGCTTCCTATTTGCAAAGGGTTATAGAGAACTCAGAAAATGATTGAATCATTGTAAGTTCCAATTCTCAATCACATAACTGAAATCCTTTGGACAAGAGACAAAGGAGTAATTTTATATGACTAAGCTTTACAATGATAATGCTTCATGATACTAAAGTCACATCTTCTGTTTTATCAATGAACATTATTTAAATTAGCACGTTGTAAAAATAAATAACCTTTATGCCTTTTAAAATGTGACTGGCTGACCACGACAAGAAATCTCCTGAAGAGGAAATCTAGCCTTCTAAAAAGAAAAGGGTGAAGATGACAATTTTCCCACGCACTCAGTCTCTCATTTGTCCTCACCACCCCATGGATTTAACACGTGCACAGGGTTTGCCGTCAGTAGGGAATAACTGCATTGCTGCCTGGAGCAAAAAGGACCTGAACTCAGGGCTACTCTATGCCTGAAATGTAATTCCATTAAAACCTCAGCAGTGGAAGCGTCTTTAAGGTCATTTAGTTCTACTCTTTAGCTCAGGCATAAGCCCCCTCTACAAAAGCCCATTCAAATGGTCCTAAGGCTTCTCCCTGGACGTCTTTGATAACCAGGAGGTCACCCTGCCCCCCCTCAGGTCGCCCAGTCTCTCTTTGGGTGGTTCTAAATGAAACAGATCTCCCTCATGTTAACCTGAAGCCTCTGTCTTCTGTCTTCTATCCATTGGGCTAGTGTACTCTCTAGCTGAATACCCTCTGAACGTCCCCCACCAAATATAGTAAAACATTCTGCCGCCTTAATTTTCTTTCAAAAAATATGAAGCTGTGAGATTCTTCAAGTTCTTTCAACTTTTTCTTTAGTCTTGAGTTCTAGACCAGCATTTCTTAAAACATAGAGAAAGGGGGATTTTAGGAACCTCTTGGTTAAATACATTTAAATAAGTTTCTTTCTTAGAGAACTTCTTAGGAATTTTTATGCTGCCAAGTATGTGATTCTCCAAACTAAGGCGGGGGGGGGGGCGGGGGCGGTGACTTACCTCTATTACTACTTCGTGGAACACACACTTTGGGATACATTGTCTTAGGCCATTTAAAATCCCAGTTCCCTCCTCTGACAACAATTCGGCTTACCAATTTACCCATAATTAGGCCCAACACTCAGGGGAGGACTAGGCTGACCGGTGTAAGCGAAAGGACAAGCACTAGCTGGTTCTGAGCGCCACCCATCCAGATCGCATGCATGTGTGGGACTCCATCTCACGGAACTAAGATTCCCACGTGGCCAGCATCTCCATATTTCCACCACCGACCTTCACAGAGGAGGAATGGTTTCAGTGCCAACACAGAACTCCCTAGGGAAAAACGCAAATCTCTCCCCCATTCAAGTCTCAAACACAGCTCTGCTTAAGGCTGAACAAACAGACACTAATATTAATCCTGCGTTCCTGGGATTTTGACTTCTATATCAGAAAATCATCTTACAGGCCCAATAAACATATTCATTGAATCAATAACTTCAACACCGAACCAGACTGTTTCCAAATCTCCAGGTATATAACCACAATAATAAAAGCTCAGTTAAATTGCTAGTGATGAGCAGAATCAAAGAATCCTAGGACTTTTTTAGTTTGAAGGGAGCTTAGAGAATATTTAGCTTAAATCTCTAATTTTATATAAATATACCTTAATTTCTAATATTAACAATAGGGAAAGTTGATTCCAAATATCAGAACACTAATGAAAACTATGCAACTGAGGCCTGGGTTGATATTAATGGGTTTGGGCGCTACAAGCCATTTTCCGGTTCATTTATGCTAACAAGGGTGCTTTCCTACAGCAGGTTTTCTCGATGCCTGCTCCTGTCCCCTCGGCACTCATCATTCCTGAGCACACCAATCCAACAGCTTCCGAATGCCAGCACCTGAAACTACAGGTGCTCCTCCATTTACAATAAACCCATCGTAAGTTGAAAATACTGTAAGTTGAAAATGCATTTAACACACCTAACATATAGACATCATAGCTCAGCTTAGCCTACCTTGACCATGCTCAGAACACTTACATTAGCCTGCAGTTGGGCAAAATCATCTCACACGATGAACACACTGGGGAGCATGCTTTGTGCAGCCCCGTGATCACACGGCCGACTGGGAGCTGCAGCGCACTGCTGCCGCCCAGCATCATGGGAGAGCACCACACGGCATGTCGCTAGCTCAAGAAAACGTCAAAATCTCCTGTGCATTTTCCACTGAATACGTATCAGCTTAACACCATTGTAAAGACGAAAAATTGTAAGTTGGACCATCAGAAGTCACAGACCATCTCAGTTGCTTGAGGACTTTCTCCAGCCACCAGAGCCCCCTTGCCTAGGCTGGGTAATGTCAGAGAGGTGTTACACCTGGTGGGAGCCTCCACTCGATGACAGAAGGTGAGCTGCACGATAAATGAAGGGAGCCCCAGCTCCCTTGCCCCCGAGATGCAATCACATGGAAGCATGTTCTACGCCTCCGCAGCAGGACTGAGCCCCAACTTCCCACAGTGATAGCTGGCTTTGTAACAGATGCGCCATAGGCAGAATAATAGCCCCCCAAAAATGTCCACGTGCTAAGCCCCGGAACCCATGAATATGTTATTACCTGGCAAAGGGGAATTGAGGTTAATCAGCTGAGCTTAAAATAGGGAGACTACCCTGGATTACCTGGGTATACGCAATGTAATCACCACAGTCCTTGAATGTGAAGGCGAAGCCAAAAGAGGAGAGTCAGAAGAAGAGGTGACTATGGATGAATGGTCAAAGAAATGTGACTTTGCGAATTTGGAAGATGGAGGAAAAGGGCCATGAGCCAAGGACCGTGTACCACCTCTAGAAGCTAGAAAAGTCAAGGAAATAGATTCTTCCCCAGAGCTTCCAGAAAGGACTGAGGCCCTGCTTAGCCCAGTGAGACCCAGGTTGGACTTCCGACCTACAGAACTATAAACTAATAAGCTGACACTGTTTTAACCCACTAAGTTTGTCATAATTCATTATGGCAGCCAGAGAAAACTCCTATGACACAATTTATTGGCTTTCTTCCCTCGTGTCACTTCTCCACTCCCCTGCTGGTGTCTCCTGGTGTCTCCTCCCAAAAGAACTATTTGCTCTTGAATCCTTGTTATAGGGTCTGCTTCTGGAGAAGTCCAAATCAAAATATTGCCACTGTATTTAACCATATTCAAATTGTCATGTATCCAAGCCAAAATATGACACTAAACTTCTCAAATCAAGACAATGTTCTGTCCATTAAGTCACCAGAGCAGGCAAAGGTACATAATAAAAGTGGTGATATTATTGACAACGAATATTATCAGAATTGCCACTATATAAATTCTGAATTACACAAGTCTACAATCTGTTGCTATTAATGGCCTTTAAACTAATATCTCTAACTCCCGACACTGTCAATTTTGGAACTACTGTATAGCTACCCAGCTTATGTTTCTAAAGACAAATCTGATTACCTTGCTCAAAAACTTCAATACTTTTTTTCCATTTTTAAAAAATATCTTTTATTTATTTATTTTTAGAGAGGAGAAGGGAGAGAAAAGGACAGGGAAAGAAACATCGATGTGTGGTTGCATCTTGTGCACCCCCTGCTGGGGACCTGACTTGCAACCCAGGCATGTGCGCTACACTGGGAATCGAACCGGCAACCCTTTGCTTTGCAGGTCAGCGTTCAATCCACTGAGCCACACCAGCTAGGGCAAAAAACTTCAGTATTTTCTATCGTCTATTAATGTCCAGGCTCCTTACCTGGCATTCAGAGTCCTCCAATATCAAACATCAACCTTCTTTTCTAGACTTCTTTTCTACTGTTTCCCTTCATATACCACTTGGACTAGCCAAACTAGACTCTTTGCTGTTCTATAAGCACATTTCTTTCCTTTGCTCACATTGTTTCTTCTACCTGGAATGGTTTTAGAGCCATCACCATCAACTCAAATCCCAACAATCCTTCAAAGTCCAAATATTTGCAGTTTGAGTCAATGCATAAGCGAATAAATGCATAAAAACAAAAGCTACCTCTGTACTAGTTGGCTTTTCTGTCTGTCATATACCCTGGTAACAAGAATCAGAAAACAAATCCCTAAAATGGTGAGAGTAGAGCCAGCCCATGCCAGGTTCTATGCTGTCTTTTTGCTGAGCAACTACTGGCTTCGGATTGTTTTTGTTGTTGTTGATTTTTACTTCTACACTCTGCCGAAGCAGCATGTTCTTCCATATTTGTTGATGACTGGTTTCTTTACTCATTTACTTACCGAGGATATTCTGTTCCCCAAAAGAAAGGCTTCTGGAGCTCTCCTGCTGGAAACCCTGGGAGAAAGACAAAGAAACAAAATTGTAAGGGATACAGAGATTGATTTGATGATATTAAGTACCTGGTTCCAGCGTCAGCCTTGAAGTTTCAACGGCCCATATGAAAGGTATTCATGGAGTCAGGGCCCTCTAAGAGATCCAACTGTCCCTAAGATGATATTAACTCCACTGAATTTGAAATAAGTACATTACCTCAATTTCAAGGAAACCCTTTTGCATGGATACACTGCTGGCAGTGACCAGCCTGCTATGACCCGGATTCCTTCCTACACAGAGCATGCAGGAGGCTCCCCGCTATCCAGCAGCTTCCCTAATACAGAAGGGGCCACCTAATACACAAAGGTGGCCCCACAACCTGTGCAATCACCCAGGGCCTCCCATGCAGACGGACCTGGAACCTGACTTCATGCTCTGCTGTCACTGTCCTGAAACTCTTAATACTTTTATCTCTGAATGTGATTTTTGTTAAGGGGCATCCAGGGGGACGCACAATATGCGGGCCCCCCATTCCTAGGTGTCCCATTCGCATAAGGCATTCATGATGCTCCCTAGGAGCACGGAACCCCTGCAGACCCACACTGTGCGGGAGTTCAGCCAAACTCAAAGCGAGCACAGGGTGAGCGTGTCATATCCAGGCCCGAGCAGGTGGGGGCTGGCAGCCCCAAAGGGCTCTTTCCATTGGAAACCGGGATTGGCTTTGATAACCAAAAGGCAGCAATGGCATTCTAAGAAACAGGAATGGTTAAGGAACCCTGTCATATTCTTTTCTTACTCCTATGACCTCCCTATATTAGCCAACGATATAACCCCAAAAATGGTGACAGAGAAGAAAAGGGAAAGATAGGGAGAGCCATAGTTTCTTTGCCTTGCAGTCCCGAATCATCAGCAAGCCAAAGGTAGAGCGCTGGTGGAATGTGTGAGCATTAAGAAGTGAAATAAAAACAGCTGGGTTAGTTTTGTGCAGCGTTTCTACTGTTATGGTAAGAACAAAATGCATGCACGTACAAGCTACAAAATACAAACTGTATAATTTCAGGGATTCCACATACGAGTTGAAAGCTCTGATATTTGCATTTAAAACTGGCATTGTAAAAAATAAATAGTAAAATTATGCTAAAGATTTAAAATTTTAATTTTGCTAACAGCATTAAATAGCCAATTTTTAAAAATGACAAGTCTAGAGAACAAGAGGCCACAGAAGGCAGGATAAAGCTTTATATTTCAGCACCTTTAATAGCACTTTTTCCTGCCTTCTGAACAAGGAGCCCGCCTATTTTTATTTTACATGGGGCCCTGCAAATCACGCAGCTGGCCCCGGGGACAGATGAGTGGGAGAAATGTTTTGCTTTGCCATTGCAGCTCACTACTAAGTTTAGCACCCAGAGCGGATCCTTGGAGCTGCACTTGCAAGTCATCTCAAGAATAGAAACAAAAACAGAGAAAAAGAGACACGCCTTCCCCAATGTCCTTGCCAGAGCCACTATGCAAAGCCCCTTGAGACTGAACGTTCTTTTTATTAGTCAAAATGCTTTATCAACATTCTTTCTACCTATCCTCCGTGGCAGGCTACTTTAAGAAATGAGGATAGGAAAGCAAGTTCTTAATTTAGAAATGAAATGTGAATTCTATGTGATTTGTATATACAATATATTCTTTACATTCTCTTAATAATGCCATAGTCTGAGGTTTCAAGATGCAAAAATCTAATTGCAAAACAGAAATGATTCCAGAGAGTAGTTCTCTCCCTGCTTGCTCTCACATAAAGGAAAACGCATCTGACTTTGAAGGGCAACATCATATTCATCTTCTTAATCTCTCCATTTCCTTTAATATCTTTTGCATCTTTATATCAATATTCCATCCTCTTGTTGGCAATTACTTTTAGTAACTCATTCTGATTTTGATATATATGCCCGTATTTTGCTTTGTATAATGCATACTTTTTTGCCCACATTTTTGAAAGAAAAATAAGGATGCTCATTATACATGGGTATAATGATTACATACCATGGGTATAAGAGTGGGTATAATAATTCTGTGTATAATGCATACAAAAATGTGGGTACACATTATACACGGAATGCATTCTACATGGCAAAATATGTGTGTATGCACATGTATTATATGCATATGCAAACCACAGTGCTCATATGAAAATTCCATCTCACACAATATATCATCAAAAAGGTGCTACTTCCTAATAAGAATAATGATCATAAACCAATGTGATTTAATTACTCAATCATTCTGGCTTTCCTGCTTGATAATGTGCCCAGCTGGAAGCATTTCTGTCCGCTGCCAATCTCTTTACAGGAAAACATCTGACACCTGCAGGAGCCTCCACTTCCGGCGCCTTTGCTGTTGGGGCCCCTCACTCACAGGCGGCAGGCCTCACGTTTCGGGATCAGTTGTATCTTTCGGCCTGTCGGGGCCATGGAACCCAGCACGGATCAACAGAAGAATCTGATGGCCTTACGACTGTTTCGCTGAAGTGAATGGATTAACAGTTTAAGCTGCATTTTTGGAGATGTCAACTGGCAAGAGTGATAGATTGAATCCCAACAGGGCCAACTCGATATCTTATCTCATGAAGTGGATTAAGTTGTGTTTAGCAAAGGTAGAAGCAACATAAATAAATAAATAAATAAATGGAATGGGGGGATTCTTTTTCTCTCTTCTTTTAATAAGCTTCCTTGGTTTTCTCGCTTATCTATTTCATTTCCCTTCTTCCCCATTTCAGCTCTGCCTCACCACCTGTTTCACTTTTGAAGCAGCTCCTTTTTCTATCGGTGTATTTATGGGAGGCATTCCTCCCAGTGTAAATGTGTGTGTACACACCCATATATATATATACACACGAATATAAGAGCTATGAGAGGGAAGGAGAAGAGAAATTTAATTGTTGGGCTAGCAAAAATTAATAAATTTCATAACAGCTAATACTGTCCAGGGTGTAGGAAGCGTGTTGGTGGGAGTATAAATCATTGCAAGCATTTTGGAGAGAGCAATTTAGTCATCTCTTAATGCTTTAAATACCATTTAAAAACTTAGTAAGTGCGGCTCTAGAGAAAGCACAAGAAGATGTTATTAAATGAAGAAGGGAGATAAGTGAAAAAACAGCATTCAGTGGTGTATAGGGTCCATTTATGTGTAATATGTGTAAACGTATGTAGATAAGACAGTTCTGCTTATAACACTTGTACTGAAAAGGCAAATTTGTTCCAAAATGACTGATATATTAGGGGAAAACTGGGGCATTAACTCCAATTTCATGTTTGCTTATGAGCCATTTCCTTCACAAGAAATGCTAGATGAAGGCAGCAAACTGCACCCAAATGAGCTGAGCCATGTAGGAATACAGCAAACACAGACATCCCAACATGGACCGGCGACCTCCATTCACTGCGTATGTTAGAATCCACACCCATCCACACATCTGATGTTAGAACTTTCCTTCCAATTTCAGGTAAGTCTCCTTCCTCCACTGCACAATAACTCACAAGCTCCAAGTCCTCCAGCGCCCACTTCCACAAACAAACCAGTTCTCTCTAGAAAAAGCACCATATTTACTTAGCATTTATATATTTACCGATTTAACATGGGCAAAAACTGTGCTATTGTTTTTATTAGGCACCTAAATTTTGTTCTGTGTTGTTGATCAAGTTTCTGATTATTGTGTCCCCAACCCCTTTTTCCCATAAGCTGTGTGGCTTTTATGGTACAATTTTGCATAGCACAGTGATGTTTAGGAACACACATGTCACATTATAGCAGAACTGTGTATGTATACACATATATTTATCATGTATCTATGTGCATATGTACACATGTGTTCCACTAGTGAGTTTTTTTAAAGCATAGTGTAGCATATGCTTTACCGTGCATCGGAATCACCTGAGGGGCTTATTGAAATGCAGATTACCAGGCCCCGGGCTATGAGTTTCTGAGTCAGTTGGTCCTGAGGAGGGGGCGAAGAATCTGCATCTCTACCAAGCCTGCCTGTGATGCTGATGCTGCTGCTGCTGCTCCAGGGACCACACTTCAAAACCCACTGCCCACTCACTGGCTCATGTGCACCGTGGAGTCATGGGTTAACCCGCAGATTGCTGTGTTGCTGTAATTAAGAAAAGCGTGCAACGAACCAAATATCCATCAGGAGGGAAGTGACAATTATGTATAACCACATTATGGACTGTGATGCAATGAATGAAAAGAAAAAGGCAGGCCTTACTAGTCTAGCATGAAAAAATCCAAGACCTATTGTTGGAAAAAAGCAAGGCACAGATACAGATATATAAATACCATTTATATTTTTAAATAAATATCCTGTCAGTGTGAGGATACTGGTGGGTCAAAAGTCAGTTTACAGTTGGGAGTATGAGAAACACAGAGTTTATTATTGTATTATTTATTAATTATTGTATTATTTGCCACATGTATAACTGTAAACCTAGTTTTGCCCCACCCTGTATGTATGTAAATGTACACTAAAGGTCTGTAAAGTGATCAGAGTGGTTACCTCTCGGAGATAATTGAGATTTGGGGTAATGGGTGGCTAAAGGAGCTTTGGGCATAAATGTAATGTTTTTACATTTGATTAGTCAAAGGTAATCGATTTGTGTCATTAAAATTAACTCTTTTAGAAATAAATGTGCATATTACAGAAAATTCTAAATGTTCTCAAAAAACAGTTTATAACTAAGTTTACGTAGTAGTATTTTGTTCTTGCATTTGTTAACACCTTCAAGTTTCATTTCTATTTCAAGCAAAAATACAGATGATTATAAAATCCCAAACACTAAACTTTTGACAAAAGAAAGTATTAGTATCTATATGTTGTGATAACCTCATTATTTGTTAGCAAAAATTTCTCTTTTTCCAATCTGTACCCAGGAAAACCACTGAGGCCTGCTTTTGATTTTCTAGTTGAGTTAAACTTTCACTTTTACAAGAGTTTCTCCTAACTCTCTTATCAGTGAATATTGATTAACCTGGCT